AAGATTACTTGCTTTATCACTAGCAACTTATACAGCCTCTCTGAGCCTCCGTGTCCTCACTCCTACACGTAACGTAGCTACAGAACTGCACTCGGTGAGGTTGGTGAGGACTGAGTGAACTAGTACTTTAAACCAGTGAGCACAGCCCTAGCCGGTTTGGCTCAGTGGGTAAAGCGTTGGTCTGTGGACTGAAAGGTCCGGGGTTCGATTCCGGTCAAGGGCACATGCCTCGGTTGCAGGTCAGCCTTGGTTGGGCGTGTGCAGGAGGCAACCAGACCATGTGTCTCTTTCACATCGATGTTTCTCTCTGCCTCTACCCCTATTTTCCAGTCTCTCTAAAAATCAATGGAAAAATATCCTCGACTGAGGACTAACAATAAATAAATAAACGAAGCAGCACAGCACCTGGCATAGAGCTCAGAAGAGAGTAACTCTCGGTGGCAGGTGGCCATGAAGCGGCCCCGAGGATGGCAGGTGCTCATGTCTACAAGGCACTTGGATTAGCTCTTGGCTCATAGCAAGCACTCAGTGAATCAATCAGTGATAAGGACCATCATCATCTTCATCTTCACCATTATCTGAATCACTATCACTAGTTACCTCCTCTTGAACCAGAGTTCTGTACCTCCTCTGTGATTAGAGGGGCTCGGCTGGGGACGAGGGCATTGGGTGACAAGGGAGGAGACTTGGGCAGGCGTGCCCTGTTCTTAACCGAGTGTTGCTTCTCAGGATCCAGTTTACCTAATTGTATAAAAAGAGAGGGTTCTTCCCTGACCGGTTTGGCTCAGTGGATAGAGCGTCGGCCTGCGGACTGAAGGGTCTCGGGTTCGATTCCAGTCAAGGGCATATACCTTGGTTGCGGGCACATCCCCAGTAGGGGGTGTGCAGGAGGCAGCTGATCGATGTCTCTCTCGTTGATGTTTCTAACTCTCTAGCCTTCTCCCTTCCTCTCTGTAAAAAGTCAATAAAATATTTTAAAAAAAGAGAGAGAGAGAGAGAGATTTCTTAGAGGGAACCCACACTCCCTGCCTGTCCCAAGACTCTGAGAGTCCCAGCCCTGGCCAGGGATGGTGTGTGCCATCTGAAGGATATCCATCCCACAGATGTTCATTGAGTGGCTTCTGAATGCCAGGTTCAGGGGACACCACGGTAGGCAAGCCGTCGTGCCCCCCCCACCCCCCCCGGAGGTTATTCTCACAACTGAAGCCCAAGGGACAATCAGGAAAAGATTTTAGCTTATAACTTGGTCCAGGTGACTCCAAAATTTGGGGTGCATTAGAGGTGGTTTTCCCAAAGTGCCACCCGGCCCCTGATTCATTTGGGTGCTTTACAGAGAATTCATCTTTCTACAGTTCCTCTTTCTCATTCAGCCTCAGGGAGGTACTAGTATTTCCACAAGCAGGTGAGTTAGAAATGCAACTTTTTTTTCCTTTTTTATGGAATGTATTGGGGTGACATTGGTTAATAAAATTATATAGGTTTCAGGGGTACAGTTCTATAATACATCATCTGTATATTGTATTGTGTGTTCACCACCCCAAGTCAAGTCTCCTTCCATCACCATTTAAAAAAAGAATATATATATGTGTGTGTATGTGTGTATATATATATATATATATATATATATATATATATTTTTTTTTTATTGGTTTCAGAGAGGAAGGGAGAGGGAGAGATAGAAATATCAATGATGAGAGAGGATCATTGATCGGCTGCCTCCTGCACACCCCACACAGGGGATCAAGCCCGAAACCCGGGCATGAGCCCTTGACCGGAATCAAACCGTGACCTTTTGGTTTATAGGTCAACTCTCAACCACTGAACCACACTGGCCGGGCTCCTTCCATCACCACTTCTCCCCTCTTTACCCTCTTCTACGCCCCCCCCCCTTCCCCTCTGGTAATCACCATGCTGTTGTCTGTGCAGAAATGTAACTCTGAAAATCATCACTTAGGAGTAAGAGGTGTGTCTCTCAGAAGAGCCCCTTGGAAGAAAGCTCTGCCCCTCACGGTACCGTCCACGCTTCCCAGGACGGTGCAGGCCGTCCGAGGCCACGACATCAAAAGCCTCGTTTTCTAAGAAAGAGAATCAAGATCTTAAGAAAAAGATGCCCCAGTTTTGTCCCTCAGACAACACAGGTGTCATTCTTCACTCCTCTTTCACTTCTCATGCCTTAATCCTTGAACATTTACTCCGAAAAGAGGTTCTTCCTTTTCTAACAAATCACGGGGTCCCTGTTCATTGTCTTCCAGCTACAGCCGGGCTTTTACAGAATCAGGGCTGTGTCCGTGGGGCTGACCCGGGCAGAGGATGCCTAATCCTCCGCAGCACAGGTCGAGAGCGAGTTGGGGAAGGGTGGGCAGGGCTGGTACAAGGGCACCATGGTCTCCAGTGGGATCTGAGGTCTCCTGGAAAGGCATATGGTGAGGGCGACAGAGCTGGCACCCCTCCCTGTCACTGTGCCAGGACACTCACTGCACAGAGCACCCTCTGGCTGCTCAAAGTTGGGGTGCTTACAAGGATCAAATAAATGACTGCGTTTGAAACCTGGCTTACAAGTAGATGTAAGGGGCAGCTGGGGTTCTCGCCCTCCGCCTCATATCCTTCCTTCCCAGCCGTGGCAACTCCCAGATATGCCTCCACTTGTCTGAGTTCAATAAATTTGGGGCAGATGTGGGGTTCCTGGGGGAGGTGGGTGTCTCAGGTCGGGACTGATCAAGCCAGGGGTCAGCCTCAGGACAGGGGCACCAGAGTGAAGGACAGTGGTATGGAATATAACACATCTGACTTGTTTGACAATTTTTCCCAGGCAGGGGACTTCCCCCACAATGAAAAGGGGGACCCCCCAATGAAACAGGTCCTGGGGGGCACACTCATAGCACAAGAGCTCTGGGTTTTGTTTTATTTTGTTTTTAATATATTTTTATTGATTTCAGAGAGGAAGGGAGAGGGAGAGAGAGAGAAAAATCAATGATGAGAGAGACTCATGGATCGGCGGCCTCCTGCACGCCCCCTACTGGGGATCGAGCCTGCAACCTGGGCATGTGCCCTGATCAGGAATTGAACTGTGACCTCCTGGTTCATAGGTCGACACTCAACCACTGAGCCAAGCTCAATGGCGGGTTTTAAATATATATGTAAGCGCCCCTCTTAGCTCAGGCCTTGGAACTGATGGCTGGATACCCTGTTGGAACAACCTGGTGTGGGAAGTGGGGGTCAAAGTGATGTCCTGATGGCATTTAAAAAATCAGAAGTCCTCGGCATGTAGAAGGCATTCGGCAAAAGTTCCGCGAATGGACGAGCAAGGGATGCCTGAATGAGCATCTAATTAGGATTTTATAGCAGAACAATGGGCAGCCGCTGGTCCCGCCCTCTCACATGCCAAGTGGTCTGGCCCAGGCAGAGTCCAGTATTTGGGAGCAGAGGGGGGCGGCTAGAGGAAGGCCCTCCCCAGTGGGACCGCCATCACCCCAAACTTGGCCAGCCCACTTCCTCTCCTACCCACGCTTTGGAGTTAAACAGCCACAGAACGCTCTTCCCTGTCTCTGTGTGGGAGCTGGTGGCGCGCGTGTATTAACTCAACAGCATTTGTGAAAGTTTTCCGAGCTCGTGGGGGAAACCTAGCATGATGTGGAGAGAGAGGCAGAGAGGGTTGTTGAAGGGCGGTGGAGTTCACAGGAGGAATTCTGGGGCAGCACTGCTGGATAGGGGCAGGGGGAAAGGGGAGAACGGGAAGTGGCGCCTGCCCCACGTGGGGGTCCTTAGGGCCTGGGCAGCCTCGGCCTAGGACTGGCATTTCCCTTTCGAGGAAACTGTCAACCCAGGGGCCCTCAACTCGTGCTGATAGGATGAAATGACAAATGGGACAAAGGAGGGGCGCCCGCGGCGCGGGTGCCTGGATGGGCACTAGCCCCATGGAGGAAGGGACCTTCTGCTCACCCTGAGAACTCACCTTCTTGGCGCCCAGGGCCCCTCAGAACCCTCGCTGCCTCCCCTCCTGCCCACTGCGGGTTGGAGGCTTTGTGTGGTGCGGGAGCAGAGAGGGGCCGGGCCCCACGTGCGTGCGGGAGGCTGCCAGGCCGGGTGCGCGTATCAGCCTCCGGGGCCAGGGCTGGTGTGTCCCGCGCTGCGAGTGCGCGCTCCTGGGAGTCCCGCGCTCGGGCAAGGGCCCCCTCCCCGCCCCGCCCCTGGAGAGATCCCGAGAAACGCTAGGGCGAGACCGCGCGCCAGGGGGCCCCGAAGACCACCGGGCGGCGATATAGACTTTCCAGAAAGGTCTCAGGCTCCGCGGCGAGAGCGCACGGGGACTCGGGGGTGCAGGGGCGCCGTGGGTTCGCTGAGCGTCCAAAGCCGGGCGAGGGCGGGGGTCTCAGCCCCGCCCCGCGCGCTCCAGCTCTAGCGGTTTCAGCGCGAACCCCAACGCCAGGCTCTCGGGGCTGCGGGGAGAGCGTGTGTGTGTCCGTCTGTATGGGGGACATCCCCTTCCCGGGAGCCCGTGCAGAGCCCTCGCCCTCCGCTGGGCCCGGGGAGCCCCTCCCCCAGCGCACAGATCCCTGCGCGCCCCTTGCCCACTTTGCCAAGGCGAGAAAGCGGCCGAGCCGGAGACAAAGAAACTCCTGCCTCCTCCACTCTCGGCCCCTCCGCCCGCCCTAGACACTCCCCAGCGCCCTCCCTCGACCCGGCGACATCGCGCGTGGACACTTCGGAGAAGGGAGGGGGACAGGGGTGCCAGTCTGCTCCCACATGCTGGCCGGCTGGAGGCTGCCCGCGCTCCCTGCCCAGGGGACACCCCACCCGCCGCTCACCAAACCGTCCCGGGCCCCAGGTGCGGCCACGCTGGCCCAAACCGCCCGCCACCTCTCCAGCTAAGCGATAGGGGGGCGCGGCGCACACAAAGCGGATTGGGGTGTGTGTGTGTGTGTGTGGAGAGTCCGGGAGGGAGAGATCCCGCCAGGGCTCGGCACCCGCCCGGCACGGCCCGGCCGGGCGCAGCTATTTACCCGATTTCTTCTTCGATCTCCGAGATGTCTGCGAAGATGAGGCAGACCACCAGCAGCGTGAGCGCAGCCAGCATCCAGCTCCGGAACTGCAGCTGCATGGTGGCTTCGCGCCCCCGGGACCGTGCGGGCTGGAGCGAGGAGCGGGGCTGGAGGGCTCAGCGGCCGGCGCCCGAGCCTCCGAGCGCGCGCGGTGCGCAGCCGGGCAGATCCCTGCGCTCCCGGCGAGTCCGGGCCGGCGGCGGCGGCGACAGCGGCACACAGGGGTTGCTCAGGCGCGGCGAGCCAGCTCTCCCCCTCGGCTCCCGCCCGCCCCTTCTCTCCCCCTCCCCTCCCCTTCCTTCCCCTCCCTTTCCCCGCCCTGCGTGGGGCTCCGCGCGCAGTTTGACAGCTTTGCTCCGCGCCTCCGCCCACCCCAGTCCACTCCGATGTCCAGCCGCCCGCCGTGGCGTCTCCCGCCTGCCTTCTTCCAGCTCCCGGGGGGCTCCGGGACGCGGCTGGAGCCGGCCACTCCCAGCCTGGGAGGCTGAGCTGGGGAGCCGCGTGCGCCCAGGTACCCAGCACCGCCCCGAGTACCCCGTCGGCTGGCAGACGCCCTCCGCCGCCTGCTCTTTGTCCAGCGCCGCCCGCTTTCTCGAAAAGTTTTCCCGACACAAAGACCCGCACCTGGGGGCAGCCCCCAGCGCACTGCCAGGAGGGGGTTTCCTGCCGCCAGGCGTTTCAGCGAGAGACACATTCGAGGGGAGGTGGGGGAAGGGGAGGGGAGAAGAAATATCCAAGACAGGCCAACTTCGGTGGAGATGTTGACTGCGGGTTTTGCGGTTGTGGGTACCCTGAACCCTGAGACACTCCGCACCTCTTCCTCCGCCCTTTCCCCTCCCCCGGCAGTCATCTTGGTCTCCATTGATAGATGGAGACTGGGTTCAGAGAGGTTCCCTGAGTTGCCGGAGGTCACACCGCCTTGGCTGGAACCCTAGGCGCGTGCTATCCACAATGTCAGACTTAGCAGCGCCCGCCCTGCCTGCCTTAACCCTTGCAGTGCTGACTCCGGGCTGGGCTGCATTGCTTCAGCCCTAGCCCTCTCCTGGAAAAGCAGTAGCCCCCTCCTCCCACTCCAGTCCGATCTTGATCGAAGGGCCTGCTAGAAAATGTGGCTCCCCCAAGAAGTAACATTACCACCCCCCCCCCCATACCTAATATTTATGCGTCCCCAGTCTTAGCCAGTTGAACTCAATTTTTGCACCAACCCTTAGCCTGGGGTGGGAAGGGCCCCATTAAGTTTTACTGAAATTAATAGTTATCTTTTTTTTCCTTGCGCTAACTATAACAATCCTGAAATCAGGAAATGTAACTCCCCAGAAATGATCATGTGATTTCTTATTACAGAAAGGGTCCCTGGGGTTTGCGTTTGGGGGAGAGTCCTGTGTGTAGAGGCTGTGTGGAATGTCCTAACCATCTGGACAGGACTTCTGAATGAATGGGTGGGGCAGATTGCCTGTCCTGCGCCCCCTACCCCCTACCCCCCCCCCATACAGAGCCAGGCCTCAGAGGAGCTGGCAATGGCTCAGTCCCTTCAGGGGGACCCTGGGAAGGTAAGAGGGGGACAAAGGCCTTCCCCACCAGCACCTGCACCCAGAGTCCTTTTGCTTCTTGGTGTATAAGAAGGACTGGCAGGAGGGAGGCTTCCCAGCCAGAGGCTGCTGGCCAGTCTGCAGGAGGAGTTCCCATCGCCCTGCCTGAGAGCAGAAGGAAACAGCACAGAGAAACGGGGACCCTCTGAGTGTGGGGAGCAGATGTCTTTTCCCCAGAGGAGGGCGCACCCATTCCCTGGTTAGCATTTCATCTCTCCCCCAGCCCCTTGCAAAATTCACGCATGGGGACAGCGAGCGCCTCTAAATCGCCACTTCTTTTTCTTGGGGGGAGACTGTTGGGTGCCACGCGTCCTGTCCCTTAGAGGTGGCAACAGGCATCCAAACAGGGTTTTCCAACAGTTCCCCGGCCACGTGGTCAAACCGTCCTGTCTCTGAGTTTTCTGAGTGCCTCGGCACCCCCCCTCCCCATCTTGCTAGACGGGGGGTGGGGGGGGGGGTAGGAGTTGTGGGGCTGTGTTCATCATTTTGCCTTGTTTTCCTGAGATGAATGGTTGATGGTTGGGATATCTGAACAGGGAGAGGTAAGAACAGGGTGCAGCTGTTAAAGCTGCTCGATATTCTAGTCATTCATTCATTCATTCATTCATCCATTCATTCACTCCCTCCATCACTCAACAGTGTTACTTGTGCACTTACCCTGTGCCAGGCTCTATGTTAGGGACTAGAGATACTAAAACAAGAGACACACATTTCCTGCCCTCCAGTGGCTCACAGTTCAGGAAGAAGACAGATGTGTAAGTGCATAATTATATGGGATGTGTGCTACAAACCAGCTGTGTCCTGAGTGACTTATAATCCTCCTATATAATAAAAGGCGACTATGCAAATTGTCCCCTGGGGAGTTTGACCCACTGGGAGTTTGACCGCTTGCTATGACATATGCTGACCACCAGGGGGCGGCATGGAACAAAGGAAGGCCCCAGCTGGCAGCCAGGGGAAGGAAGGCCCCAATCGGACCTGGTCATTAGCCAGGCCTAGGGACCCTACCTGTGCATGAATTTTGTGCACCGGGCCTCTAGTTCACTAGTAAGATCACCCAAGAGCAAGAAGAAGCTGGCTAGCCTCGCTGGCCTCTACTCTCTGCTTCTCTACCAACACCACTCTTACTATCCTGAGCATCATGGGGTGATTGTGGCCATCCTAAATTCATCCCAGGCCAGGTAAACCTCATAGCTATAAACACTGTTATAGTGGAGCCTATTTGCATTTCCTATGAGATGACCTTGTTATCGCCCCAGGTTCAGAGCCTCCCTCCTTGGAAGCCACTTGTGAGGAGTCGTTAAGTGTAGTCAGGAAAAGTGGAAATGTATTGAATAAGTTTCCACTCCTCAGGGAGAAATCCTTGTAAGCAGATCCCCAGAGCAACGTCCCTCAGTACATCTGCTGGGAAAGAGCTAGCTTCGCAATGTAGAAGCTGTTCTTGTGAGTCATTGAGATGGGATTCTACTGGGGATCCATATGTGCCCTGACCGGGAATCGAACTGTGACCTCCTGGTTCATAGGTCGATGCTCAACCACTGAGCCACACCGGCTGGGCCAGAGAGGGAATTTTAATTCAGTCATCCTCCCCTGACCTCAGCAACTTCTACAACACGGGATGGCCAAGATCCCCTGCAGTAGTTGGGGCAGTTTTTTTTAAAAAATATATATATATTTTTAATGATTTCAGAGAGGAAGGGAGAGGGAGAGAGAGAGAGAAACATCAATGATGAGAGAGAATCATTGATGGGCTGCCTCCTGCATGGCCTCCACTGGGGTTGGAGACTGCAACCCAGGCATGTGCCCTGACCAGGAATCAAACCCTGATCTCCTGGTTCATAGGTCAACACTCAACCACTGAGCCATGCCGGCAGGGTGGGCAGTTTTAAATAGATTTGTAAACAGGCACCTCCTTTGATTCCGACTGTATCCTCTTAGTTCCGGAATGTCAGGATTCAGGGAATGAGTTTATCTTAGCTCACTGCACACTCCTCAATATCGGTGAGACCGTAATCATCAATCTCAATTTTCATCTTTCCACATTGCAGAGACTAGTCTTTTCAGTCAATCCGACTTGGGGGCGGAGGGGGAAAAGCTCAATATTTAAATAATAATTTTCTTATCTAAAATTCTGACCCAGTACCCAACACCGTGGAACTTACTCAGAAAGCAGTTTAGAAGGTTGACTACAAAATGGTAATGCCCTTGCATTCTCTGTGAAAGGGGAGTGGTGAATAGCTCTACGTCCGTCCAGGGTGGGGGTGTCAAGAGGTAGAATATCATAGTTGGAATAGACTAACAGGCTATTGTGTTCCTGCACCTCCATAACCGAGAGAACCCGCCTTCTCTTTTGAAATTGGCACTAAATTAGAATGTTCTCACAAATGCAGTGCTTTCCCCTTCCTATCAGAATCCTAGCAGTATCAGCACGGAAGAGTAAATGGACACATTTGCATTCCATTTGTAGCTTTTGTAAACAGCAAAATTGTGTATTAGCTAAAGAAAGAAAAGAAATATGCCCGGATGATCGCTCTAAATGTTTCTGGGATTAACAGCAAGAGATGTCGGGAGGGATGTGGGCATGAGCTCCGCCTGGAGTTGGAGGTGATAGCAGAGGAGGGGGAGGGGGAGATGGTCAATTGTTTTTTGCTGGGATTTTTCCAGACTCCAGCCAGGGATTCAAGGTGGTCTTGAACTCAAGCACAGAGTCAGGTACCAGATGGCAGGGATAAAGAAAAAGGATTGTCCCCTCATGATGCCCACCAGGGCTTCCACGGAACTGTCACTGTCACCTCTCCTCTGAATCAGATTTCTCTGAATCAGCTCGCCCAGCTTTGCCCACAGTCCAGCATGATCCCTCCCCCCTCGCCCCCTAGTGAGGCATCTGGGGAATCTGGGCCCTGTCAGTCACCCCTGACTCTAGTCTCACTTGGATCATCATGGACCTGCACATTTCCAGAGTTGGGAGGGGAGGATAGAGATAGTGTGTTCCCCTCTGTTCGCCATTTAACAAGCCTGCTGCCTCACCTGTCCCGTGCCCGGATTTACACTAGAGGATCAGGAGCTGTGTGAGTGACAGGCATGATGCCTCCCCTGGCGGAGGTCAGATCCCTGTGGGATTTTACAGATGAAAAACCCTGGGGCCCAGGGACCAAGAGACTTGCCCACAGGAGTTTCCGAGCTGAGAGCTGTCTGTCTCCTGGTCGAGTGCAGTGCTGCTTCTCCTGCACGCACACCTTTTCACGACACTTTGGTGGGATTGTAAGCTCCCACGGGATGGGACACCTTCTCCCCCTCTGGTTCCATGTTACCTAGTCTGGTCGGAACCCAATCAATTACCTGTTCCTGCCATGGCCAATTTCAAGTCACCCCATCTCACAACTGAAGGCAACCTTGGGAAGAGGTGGGCATTGACACACCGAGATAGAGTATTTCCGTCACATACACACAATATATGACATAATCTCAAGAGCATAGATAATAGCAAAAGGCAGACAATGAAATGAGGCAGTGATGAGTTCTGAGTGTGCATTGCCTTTGCTTTTCGTAACTCTATTTACTCGTACGTTTAATTTTTTTAATATATTTTTATTGATTTCAGAGAGGGAGAGAGAGGGAGAG